CTTTTGAAGGCCTTTATTAGTGAAACTTCAATGGAACATTTGTTATAGTCCAGTCTGGGATTGCCACACAGATCATTCTTCAGAAGATAAACACATCCTCTCTGAGATTCATATACATTAGACTTTTGAGTTGGCTTTTCTTAGATCTGAAACAGGATGCTGCTATCATTTTCCAACATGATTCTCGTTGAGGAACTGTGGGTATTTTATTTGGGAGACTTAATTGCAGCAATTGTTTGTAAGGTGAAAGATTCTGCTATTTGTTCTCTGCAGAGGAAAGAAAATTAAAAATGTGAATTTAGACACGCGACGTTAGTATTGCATTGAAATTTGAGAGATGTACATTCGTGTCTTTATAATAAAGTCTTGTATAAAAATGAACAGTCTAACGAAACTTTTATTCCTAAATACAGAATGAATCTCATCAACTTTAGCTAGTGAACAGCAGTTTAGAGTGTCACACAATAACTAGCTTAGTTTTAAAATAAACCAGGCTAAACTGGCTTAACTGGTTTAAAGGTGTAGCTATGGTCACATGAACAACAGTTTGAACATTTTTACTTGTTTTATTTATGGTGTAAGTTGTTGCTATGGCACCAAAAGGCATTTTTTTATGCTTGATTGAAAAATATCGCTTTAAATAGATTTTTTTTTTCAGAAAGATTTTACCAAGTGTTTTATTTTTCATTTATTCTATTTAATTTATACATATTAGCACCTGGAAACCTGGACTAAATGCCTAAAAAAATGCCTTATAGAAAAAATAATGGAATTATAGAAGCAGCAAATGAATGCAACACCCTGAAAGTAAATCTCTGGAGTGTTGCATTTAAATTTAAGATCATTGTAAATGTATTACAATGTGTGTAATTTGTTACATAGTTTTTTACATAGTTTGATCATAGTCCTGACAAAGAACCACGAGGAACTCGAGGACATTCAGTGAGTCAGTGATAAAATATGTTTCAGAGTGAGCCATGAGAAAGTTCAATTCATCTGAATTTGTGAGTTATTACCATCTTGGAGAATTTTCTATCCTATTCACTAACTCTTTATTCAATGAAAAAAATGAGCATGTCTGAGAAGACAATATACCTAGTAGGTAAATCAGGTAGGAACGGGATTAAGTAAGAGACTGATTAAAAAGATTAAAACCAACAGCAGCAGATCTATCACTCTAAACATACTGCAGCTGAATGTTAATACAACCATAT